GGATCCCGCAGGAAGGTAAGCGTTCCTCTTTGCCACAATCTGTCATTTGCTTGGGGAGTTTGTCGATGTGCTAGAGGCAGCCTGTCCACGTGTCCACAGTGGCCTGTGGGGTTGAGCTTCCAGAGTGGATGGACTGTCCCTCTTGCTTTCGGACCCTGAGGTCATTGGCTCACGAGGTGAGCTGCCTCGGCTGCCTCACCTAGACATCTGGCTTCACAAAACGTGCTAGGATCGATGATGATTCCCCCCAAAAAAACCAAACCAACATTCCTTGGGCTGAACAAAATGAGTGAGAACTACAACCGTCGTCGTTCTCATCGGAAACTGAGGTCCAGCACGTTCAGAGCCCCAGGGACAGGAGGAGTGAGGGACAGCTTCCCCTTGTCACACTCATGCAGGCACCACCTAGAGTGTTGGCACAGCAGCCTACCTGGCTAACCTCATGGTACACACACAACTGCAGTCATTGGTCAGGGATAGAGCTACCTGATAGACAGGTGTTACCTGGGGAGAATGTTGGTCTAGATGTGGTTACCTGGGTCCATTTCTCAACTGTGCATGTGATTTCTCTACACTTCCCAGGTGGAGTGGCCGTGTAGACTCTGCATCAGCCATGAAATAAAGACAGTCCTTTCCTTTGTTGATGGGAGGTGTGTGGGAGTCCTGGAAGCCGAGTGTCCCTGGGTGTGCACCCTGCCTGTGGAACCCACAGGAAGGTAAGCATTCCTCTCTACCAGTCCCAGCATCACTTTAGAGGTACTAGACCTGCTAGGCCCGTCCATGAATCCCCAGTAGTTTCCCTCCAAGAATGGACTGAGTGTCCCTCTTGCTCCCTGGCTTGGTTGTGTATGTCCAGGCCACTAGATGGCGCTGATGCCAATGGCTCACTAGGTGAGCATCCAGCCTGCCTCACTACTATGTCCTGCACCCCAGAACGTGCTGGGATCGATGATGACTCCCTCAAAAAAAAACCCAAACCAACATTCCTTGGAAAAGCTGAACAAAATGAGTGAGAACTACACCCGTCGTCGTTCTCATCGGTAACTGAGGTCCAGCACGTTCCGTATCCCAGGGACAGGAGTGAGGGACAGCTGCCCCTTGTCACACTCATGCAGCCACCTCCCAAGGTATCGGCGCATACCTGCCCACCTCATGGTGTCACACTTGCACCCAGTCACTCCTAAGGGATAGAGGGACTTGATAGACAGGTGCACAGCTTACCTGGGGAGAGGTTGGCCTGGATATTGTTACCTGGGTCCATTTCTCAAATGTGCATGGGATTTCTGTGCACTTCCCAGGTGCAGTGGCCGTGCAAGGCTCCCCATTAGACATGAAGAGACCACCTTCCTTTCCTTTGATGATGGGTGTTGTGCGGGAGTCCTGGAAGCCGTGTGTCCTGGGTGTGCACCTGCCTGTGGATCCCGCAGGAAGGTAAGCGTTCCTCTATCCCACAATCTGTTATTTGCTTGGGGAGTTTGTCGATGTGCTAGAGGCAGCCTGTCCACGTGTCCGCAGTGGCCTGTGGGGTTGAGCTTCAAGAGTGGATGGACTGTCCCTCTTGCTTTCGGACCCTGAGGTTCATTGGCTCACGAGGTGAGCTGCCTCAGCTGCCTCACCTAGACATTTGGCTTCACAAAACGTGCTGGGATCGATGATGATTCCCCCAAAAAAACCAAACCAACATTCCTTGGGCTGAACAAAATGAGTGAGAACTACAACCGTCGTCGTTCTCATCGGTAACTGAGGTCCAGCACGTTCAGAGCCCCAGGGACAGGAGTGAGGGACAGCTTCCCCTTGGCACACTCATGCAGGCACCACCTAGTATGTGAGCACAGCAGCCTACCTGCCCACCTCATGGTATCACATGCGCCTGTGGTCACAGGTCAGGGATAGAGGGACTTAATAGACAGGTCTTACCTGGGGAGAATGTAGGCCTGGATATTGTCACCTGGTTCCATTTCTCAACTGTGCATGTGATTTCTCTACACTTCCCAGGTGGAGTGGCCGTGCGGGACTTGCCATCATCCATGAAGTAAAGACCATGCTTTCCTTTGATGAGCTGAGTCGAGTGCGAGTTCTGGAGCCGAGTGTCCCTGGGTGTGCACCCTGCCTGTGGATCCCTCAGGAAGGTAAGCCATCACTTTAGATTTATTAGACCCGCTGGACGTGACCTGTCCATGTTTTCCCAGAACGTTCCCTGAAGAGTGGACTGAGTGTCCCTCTTGCCCCGTGCCTTGGTTGTGTATGTCCAGGCCACTAGACAACCCTAAGCTAAATAGCTCACCAGGTGAGCATCCAGCATGCCTTCCTAACATGTCCTGCATCCCAGAACGTGCTGGGATCGATGATGACTCCCTCAAAAAAAAAACAACAGCCAAACCAACATTCCTTGGAAAAGCTGAACAAAATGAGTGAGAACTACACCCGTCGTCGTTCTCATCGGTAACTGAGGTCCAGCACGTTTAGTGTCCCAAGACAGTAGGAGTGAGGTAAAGCTGCCCCTTGTCACACTCATGCAGGCACCACCTAGATTGTTGGCACAGTTGCCTATCTGCCCACCTCATGGTGCCTCATACACCTGCAGTCATTGGTCAGGGATAGAGCAACCTGATAGACAGGTCTTACCTGGTGAGAATGTAGGCCTGGATATGGTTACCTGGGTCCATTTCTCAACTGTGCATGTGGTTTTTGTACACTTCCCAGGAGGAGTGGATGTGTAGACTCGCCATCAGCAATGAAGACATGACCTTCCTTTCCTTTGTTGATGGGTGGCGTGTGGAAGTCCTGGAAGCCGAGTGTCCCTGGGTGTGCACCCTGCCTGTGGATCCCTGACGAAGGTAAGCATTTTCCTGCTCCAAGTGGAGAAATCAATTTTCTGATTTGGGGAGTTGGAATGGCACACGGGGTTTCCCTTCAACAGTGGATTGACTATTGCTCTAGCTCAGTGTTGGGATCTGCATCCCACAGGCCCCTGGAGGACTCTGAGATCCTTGCCTCACCCAATGAGCCAAAACACCAGCCTGACTAACATTTTAGAATGTAGTCAGATCAATGATGACGCCAAAAATGCATTCCTTGAAAAGCGGAACAAAATGAGTGAGAACCCATACCGTCGTTGTTCTCATCAGTAACTGAAGTCCAGCACGTTCAGAGCCCTAGGGACAGGAGTGAGGGACAGTTTCCCCTTGTCACACTCATGCAGGCCCTCCCAGGGCATCAGCGCAGCTGGCTACCTGCCCACCTCATGGTGTCACACACTCCCATCATCACCACTAAGGGATAGAGGGATGAAGGACTGGTGCAGGCTGTACCTGGGGAAAGGTTGGTGTGGATCATATGACCTAAGGGCCTGAATGACTTTCTCAAATGTGCATGTGGTTTCTCCTCATCCCCCAGGTCGCATCGTCACAAAAGGACTGTCATCCGCCTGGAAGAAACCACCTTGCTCTCTACCTGGGGGTTGGACATGGGCGGGTCCTAGAAGAAGTGTTGCCCCAGGTCTGCCTCATGCCCCCGGACGCTCAGGAAGGTAAGCCTTTCTCTGTCCCAAGGTCAGCCAATTGGGACCCTTTGTCTGAGCTAAGGACCTATGTCCAGAACGTGCTGGGATCGATGATGACTCCCTCCAAAAAAAAAACCCAAACCAACATTCCTTGGAAAAGCTGAACAAAATGAGTGAGAACTACACCCGTCGTCGTTCTCATCGGTAACTGAGGTCCAGCACGTTCCGTATCCCAGGGACAGGAGTGAGGGACAGCTTCCCTTGTCACACCCATGCAGGCCCTCCCATTGTTTCAGCATCAGAGAGGATTTTTTTGGTGTTGGTTGCCTTTTCTTAAAAAATATTTTTTTATTAATTTCAGAGAGGAAAGGAGAGGGAGGGAAAGAAACATCAATGATGAGAGAAAATCATTGATTGGTTGCCTCTTGCAAACCCCCTACTGGGGATCGAGCACGCAGTATGCCCATGTGCTCGCTCGAACCATGACCTCGCTCAACGACTGAACTACACCAGCCTGGCCGCAAGGCTTCCTTTTTCCCATCCAGAGGCCTCCCTCCCCTCCCCCCACCTGCATCCATATTTGCAACCCACCTGCACACAGGAAGTCACACCTGCCCTCACTCATGCCTCAGGGACAGGCCTAGGGGACAATCAGATGAAGGCCCACTTAGGGAAGAGCAGGGCAGCGATTTTACCTGACGACCTGGGCACATGACTCAAACGCCCCTGTGATTTGTGTCCACTTCTCAGGTGCAGCCCCAGCGCCAGGGTCTGCATTGGCGAAGACGAGATGCCCGTTGTCTGCCTGGATGGCCTGAGTCCCCGGGCTCACCGAGGAAGGTGCCTCATCGGGACCGGAGCCGGGATCCCCAGGAAGGTAAGCGATGCTCTGCTCCTCGCCCAGCCATTAGCTTTGGGTTTGGAGCTGCTGGAGGCGGCTTGTTTGGGTGTCCCGATGGCTCACGGGGTTTCCCTCCGACATGGACTGGGTGTTCCTCGCTCGGTGGTGGGACCTGGTCCTGCAGGCCCTAGCGGACTCCGAGGTCCTTGCCTCACCCACTGAGCCACCATCCGGCAGCTCCATTTTTTAGAACGTGCTGGGATCGATGATGATTCCCCCAAAAAAACCAAACCAACATTCCTTGGAGCTGAACAAAATGAGTGAGAACTCATACCGTCGTCGTTCTCATCGGTAACTGAGGTCCAGCACGTTCAGAGGCCCAGGGACAGGAGTGAGGGACAGCTTCCCCTTGGCACACTCATCAGGCACCTCCCAGGGTGTCAGCCCAGCTGCCTGCCTGCCCACCTCATGTTGTAACACACACCCATCTCACCCCTAAGGGATAGAGGGATGAAGGACAGGTGCAGGCTGTACTGGGGAAAGGGTGGTGTGGATCATGTGACCAGAGAAGCTGAATGAGTTTCTCAAATGTGCATGTGGTTTCTCTTCACTCCCCAGGTGGTATCATCGTGAAAGGCCTCTCGTCTGCCTAGAAGGGACCACCTTGCTCTCTACCTGGGGGTCGGACGTTGGCGGGTCTTGGAAGAAGTGTTGCCCCAGGTCTGCCTCATGCCCCCGGGCGCTCAGGAAGGTAAGCCTTTCTGTGTCCCAAGGTCAGCCAATTGGAACCATGTGTCTGGCCAAGGCCCTGTGTCCAGAACGTGCTGGGATCGATGATGACTCCCTCCAAAAAAAACCCAAACCAACATTCCTTGGAAAAGCTGAACAAAATGAGTGAGAACTACACTCGTCGTCGTTCTCATCGGTAACTGAGGTCCAGCACGTTCCGTATCCTAGAGACAGGAGTGAGGGACAGCTTCCCTTGTCACACTCATGCAGGCCCTCCCAGTGTTTAGCATCAGAGAGGATTTTTTTGGTGTTGGATGAGTCTTTTTAAAATACATTTACTTTTTGATTTCAGAGAGGAAGGGAGAGGGAGAGAGAGAGAGAGAGAAACATCAATGATGAGAGAGACTTAATGATTGACTGCCTCCTGCACGCTGACTCCTGGCAAACAAGACTGCAACCTGGGCTTGTGCCCTAACTGGGAATTGAACGCTGACCTCCTGGTTCATTGGTCGATGCTGAACCACTGAGCCACACCAGCCTGCCCACAGGGCTTCAATTTTCACATGCGGAGGCCTGTACCCACCACCTGCATCCATATTTGCAACCCACCTGCACACAGGAAGTCACACCTGCCCTCACTCATGCCTCAGGGACAGGCATAGGGGACAATCAGATGACGGCCCAGGAAAGGGCAGAGCAGGGCAGCGATTTTACCTGACGACCTGGGCACATGACTCAAACGCCCCTGTGATTTGTGTCCACTTCTCAGGTGCAGCCCCAGCGCCAGGGTCTGCATCGGCCAAGACGAGAAGCCCGTTGTCTGCCTGGATGGCCTGAGTCCCCGGGAGTCACCGAGGAAGGGTGCCTGAGTGGGCACGGAGCCGGGATCCCCAGGAAGGTAAGCGATGCTCTGCTCCTCGCCCAGCCATTAGCTTTGGGTTTGGAGCTGCTGGAGGGGGCTTGTTTGGGTGTCCCGATGGCTCACGGGGTTTCCCTCCGACATGGACTGGGTGTTCCTCGCTCGGTGGTGGGACCTGGCCCTGCAGGCCCTGGCGGACTCCGAGGTCCTTGCCTCACCCAATGAGCCAGCATCGGCAGCTCCATTTTTTAGAACGTGCTGGGATCGATGATGATTCCCCCAAAAAAACCAAACCAACATTCCTTGGAGCTGAACAAAATGAGTGAGAACTCATACCGTCGTCGTTCTCATCGGTAACTGAGGTCCAGCACGTACAGAGCCCCAGGGACAGGAGTGAGGGACAGCTTCCCCTTGGCACACTCATCAGGCACCTCCCAGGGCGTCAGCCCAGCTGCCTACCTGCCCACCTCATGGTGTCACACACACCCATCTCACCCCTAAGGGATAGAGGGATGGAGGACAGGTGCAGGCTGTACCTGGGGAAAGGGTGGTGTGGATCATGTGACCAGAGAAGCTGAATGAGTTTCTCAAAAGTGCATGTGGTTTCTCTTCACTCCCCAGGTGGCGTCATCATGAAGGGCCTCTCGTCTGCCTAGAAGGAACCACCTTGCTCTCTACCTGGGGGTCAGACGTGGGCGGGTCCTGGAAGAAGAGTAGCCCCGGGTCTGCCTCATGCCCCCGGGCGCTCAGGAAGGTAAGCCTTTCTCTGTCCCAAGATGAGCAAATTGGAACCATGTGTCTGAGCCAAGGCCCTGTGTCCAGAATGTGCTGGGATCGATGATGACTCCTCCAAAAAAAAACCCAAACCAACATTCCTTGGAAAAGCTGAACAAAATGAGTGAGAACTACACCCGTCGTCGTTCTCATCGGTAACTGAGGTCCAGCACGTTCCGTATCCCAGGGACAGGAGTGAGGGACAGCTTCCCTTGTCACACTCATGCAGGCCCTCCCAGTGTTTCTGCATCACAGAGATTTTTCATGGTGATGGTTACCAGTTGTTATAAAATATTTTTTAATTGATTTCAAAGAGGAAGTGGGATGGAGAGAGAGAAACATCAATGATGAGACAGAATCCTTAATTGGTTGCCTCCTGCACGTTCCCCACTGGGGATCGAGCCCACAGCCTGGCTATGTCCCCTGACTAAATATTGAGCCATGACCTCTCTCCACCACTGAGCCACACCAGCCTGCCCACAGGGCTTCATTTTTCACATGCGGACACCTGTACCCACCACCTGAATCCATATTTGGAACCCACCTGCACACAGGAAGTGACACCTGCCCTCACTCATGCCTCAGGGACAGGCCTAGGGGACAATCAGATGAAGGACCACTAAAGGCAAGAGGAGGGCAGGGATTTTACCTGACGACCTGGGCACATGACTCAAACGCCCCTGTGATTTGTGTCCACTTCTCAGGTGCAGCCCCAGCGCCAAGGTCTGCATCGGCCACGATGAGAAGCCCGTTGTCTGCCTGGATGGCCTGAGTCCCCGGGAGTCCCTGAGGAAGGTGCCTGTGTTGGCGCGGAGCCGGGATCCCCAGAAAGGTAAGCGATGCTCCTCTCCTCGCCCAGCCATTAGCTTGTGGGTTTGGAGCTGCTGGAGGCGGCTTGTTTGGGTGTCCCGATGGCTCACGGGGTTTCCCTCCGACATGGACTGAGTATTCCTCGCTCAGTGGTGGGACCTGGTCCTGCAGGCCCTGGCGGACTCCAAGGTCCTTGCCTCACCCAATGAGCCAGCATCGGCAGCTCCATTTTTTAGAACGTGCTGGGATCGATGATGATTCCCCCAAAAAAACCAAACCAACATTCCTTGGAGCTGAACAAAATGAGTGAGAACTACAACCGTCGTCGTTCTCATCGGTAACTGAGGTCCAGCATGTTCAGAGCCCCAGGGACAGGAGTGAGGGACAGCTTCCCCTTGGCACACTCATCAGGCACCGCCTAGGGCGTCCGCATTTCAGCCTGGTCTATCTGAGGGTCACAGGCCTCTCCACCAGGTTGGGTGGCCCTGAAGGAACGGTTCTGGTTGGTATGTGTGGGCTGTGTAGGTACGGTGGCCATCAGGCACCTCCTCTGTAGGAGTTTGGTGGGTGTGGCCGGGGCCTTGCCCCGGGGACTCATGGTGTGGATCTGTGTTGGCCTTCGTTCCTCTGCCGTGGTAGCCCCTGCAGCTCTGACCTGGGCACCAAAGGACAAAACTTGCCTGGCTCCTGATTAGGCCCCATTTCCCTGCTGGTAGCGATAGCTGTTCTGGCCTGTGGACTTGGTGAGGAATTGTGAGTTCCCTGAGGTGTTTTGGGGGTATGTTGCCGATAGTTGGCCTTGGTGCTGCAGTTGTGACATCCTACGCGTAACCCTCGCCCTTCGCCCACATGCATGTGGACTGCTGGACTCCCCGCTCTGAGGTGATGCTGCTGGTGGTTGATGGCCAGGACGGGGATGCAGGAGGAGGGCAGGTGGAGGTGGACTCCATGTCCTTCCATGCCACGTACTGTCTCTGTTTGCTTTGAGGGAGGCCTTCTGCTTCCCATGGATTTTACTTTATTTTTTAAATATATATTTACTAGAGGCCGGTGCACTAAATTCGTGCACTCGGCGTGCTGTCCCTCATCCCAGCCTGCATTCTCTCACAGTATGGGAGCCCTAAGGGGAATTCCAACTGACGGCTTAGGCCCAATCCCTAAACTGGTAGTGGACATCCTCAGCGCTGCCGCAGAGGTGGAGAAGCTCTCACACCGCTGCTATGCTCACCAGCGGTGAGCCTGGCTTCCGCCTGAGAGGCCTCCCCTGTGAGTGCACTGACAACAGAGCAGCTCATTT